TAATTTTAAAAAAGTTGATATAGTTAGTTGTTAGTGGAATTTTAAAATTGTATTACAATAATATTTAAAATAGGATGTTTAAAATTTGTTTAATATAAAAGTAGAAGATAAATGATTGAAAGAGACATATGACTGAGAACGGGACTCGGAGAATTCCGAAACGTTCCGAAAACCGAACTAAAAAATAATTGGTGAATGTTTGACTTTCTCCGAATTGAACCGAACCGAAAATATAATTAGTGCGGTTCTGGAGATTTCACAATATCCGTACCGAGAATCAAACTGAACCGTCCTGTACCGTACCGAACCGAAGAACTGAAATTAAGAACCGAATTATAATATTAGATGTGTTATTAATATATTTTATGTCAACTGTGATTCTATATAATATAGTAATAAATATTAACCTTCACTTAAACTGCATGCTTAGTATTACTTGATCTACAATTGATTTTTTCTATTATAAAATAATTATTTAAAATAATACTAAAGTTTAATGAATATTTTTTTAAGAAAAAAATATTATATTTTATTTGAATATTAAATTTTTAATATTAGTTGCACAAATTTAGTTATAACTAAAATTTAGAGTTACTTATAAAGTTGATGTCAAAATAAAATCTTTAATGTGAGGAAGTTCTGATGAATGTTGGTTTTATTAAAGCATAAAAAAATTAAATAACTAAACATTAGAGTTACTTCTAGAATTGATTTCAAAATAAAATCTTCAATATGATGAATTATTGATGAATGTTTTTTTTTAAAGCATATAAAAATTAAAATATAACTAGGTAGTCATTCAAAAATAATTTAAAAAAAAAAAAAATCTCTGAAGATCCGAACCAAATCATGTCAAACCGAACCGTCCCAATAGTCCCGAATACCGAACCGAACTGGCTCTTTGGTACGGTTCCGGAGATCGAATTTTGGGATCTTCGAAGTTTGGTGCGGTTCTAGAGATTTATCAATCTCCGAATCATACCGACCCACGCTCACCCCTAAAGAGACGAGGGGTTAAAATTATGTGAGTAAATGAATTTAGATTAAAGTTAATGTTATGTGTAAGAATGATTGATTTATATTATTTAATTATATTGATAATATTGATGTCAATTAAAATTGAGTTAAATTTTGAGTATGAATTGAGTAAGAATATGAATACTATAAAGAAAAACACTAAATGAAAATAAGTCTCTTATAGAGACCATTGGGACAACATGAACAAAAATGATAGTTCTACCAAACCTTAAGGTGCGATTGGTAAGCCGTCAGAACCAGTTAAAATCGATCAAATAAAGCTGATTCGGTGAGATAAGAGAGATTGTAAATAGATAATATTTAAAATGTAACGATTAAAGTTGATATGATTTAAAAGTATGAGAGATATTATGAAAGTGATATGTAGTTAAAAATATATGGGTGGATGAATAATGAATTAAGAGTCGTGTGATGTAGGAGGGAGACAATTGGTATTATTTAATTATAGTAATAGTACTAAAGATATTGAATTGAAATAAATTTTTAGTTAAAGTGAGAAAATAAAATGATCCAATCAAATTTGATTTTGATCTCTATGTACCAGTCTCTCACCGACACTCCATAATATGGCTAGAAGAACGGGCTACATCATTCAATCACTTGAATAATTTCCCATCACTTGTATGTTATATGACTAAGGAAAATGATACGGTCTCGTTACAGAACCATTTCGTCGAGTTTGTAACGGATCATCATGTGATCGTAGAAAATAGTTGATCTAACGATTACAAATCTCGACGGAATGGTTTCTTAACGGGACTGTATCATCTCCTCGTGACTAATATGGCCAACAATAGTAAAACCAACAAAAAAGTATAGCTCTAGAAGAAAAATGTTCATTATGGTTATGTGGCTTCAAGAAGCATAAAAGCAGGTGGTAAGAGATGATACCAACCGTAGAGAGAAACATAACACAAACTTTTTCTTTTTTACCTCAGTTGGTGAATCTGATACTTGTCTCTCCTCCCATCTTTTTTTTCCTTTTGCGTGCTCCTGCTGGCCATATGCTTCAAGCCTCCTTCTCTCTTCTCCTATATATGTCAACTACACATCGATCGACATCATATGCAACAACTCTCGACAAGTTATTTCACATCAAATTGGTTCCCGAAAAAATGAGCCAACGCCCAGCATGGCTCTCGCGGCTATCGTCTCTCGCCACGCGGCCTCCACCTCCACCACCACTTCCCCCACCCACCGCTGCCGGCCGCCCACCGGTCAGGCCCGTATTCAGGCCCC